GGCACTGTAGGATAACGTTCCTCGTCCCAAGCCGCTCCGTCGTACTCACTTGCCCGCCTGCAGGGCCGCCGACTCGGCGACCTGGAGGTAATGGTCCAAGTCGTGATCCCTGACTACGGAACAGGGAACGAGACCGAGCGTTAGTGGGTACGCTGACCCTGGGTGACATGCAACACTCGACGACTGCCAACATGTCCGAGGGCTACCACTACGGGCTTCGCACGCCGGAACGCAATACGGGACAGGATGGAAGCCTTACATTCGTCGTCGCTAGGGTTTGTGCTCGCGGCGAAATTCTCTTGCGAGGAGAGTGGATGAGGCATTGTGTCGCCGTCATCTTTTATTGTTGACATGCTGATACCTACATGGTCGGTGGGAGAAAAGGGAGGACGTCGCGACCACGGCATGAGGCTCTTCGTGGGACGGAGAAACGAGGGGGCTGACTCCAGGGGGGAGGACAGGAGAGAGGTCAAAGCTCCGTATCGAAAGAAGCCCCTTACTGGTACTATTGAGAACACTACGTAGTAAGGGCATATCATGCGTATTTATGCATCTTCTTCCGCTCATTCCGTATATACAGCTCGCTCGTGAGTGAGGTATTTCTCAGAGGCTCCTTCTCAGAGCTTCAACTCAGAGCAGGTTTCCTTTGAGCGCGGGATCATTCATACTTACGCAGAAAGGCACCCTCATCGAGGTGTATTACAATTGGGGAGATCGTGTACGGTTAGTAAATGCCTTTGCATGCTACTCAGGGCATGAAGGCGGGGCCATATGGAAAGGTAAATTAGGACGCGAGGGAGTAATGGTTGTACCCGGCCATGCTTATGTCCCCACTTTGAGTCCCGTCAATAGAAACTCAATCCCAATTTGACACGAAAAAAGATGTCCTTGGTATGATCTGGACGCCGCTTCCTGCCGACGAGAAATAGGGGGCATACAAGCACTGGAAAAAGAGGTGGGGGGGGAGGTAGTGGGGCTGGCACAAGAGCAATCACCCCCTTCCTTCCTCGCTCCCTCACTTTCTTTTGTCAGGGGGCCTAAGTGCGTATGTTGGGGGAACCACCGTCATCCTTTGACTTTCTTACGTGTCACGGGGTTTGTGTACGGCAGCGCGCAGGATGTGGGTGACATGAGGTTTGATAAGTGTTTGAGACTCTCCGTCCCGAAGCTGACTGTCCGAAAAGCCTGACCATGGCAGGGAAAGGTTTTTAGTCTCACGTCATAGCCGTCTCGGGCAAACAAGGAGTAGGCGGGTGTGCATCTTCATTGCTTAAAGTCGTGTAGGCTGCATTAGTCTTACAACGATTTTGGTGTCTCACGTGTGTGACAGTGAGCCTCGATTCCACCTGGACTTTTGCTTTTCTCCCCCTCCCTCCGCTCCCCTCACGTTCCCTGCCACCGTCCCTGTACTGCACAGGACCTTCCCGCCATACGGTCAGGCTTTAAATGACCACCACTGAGGGCGAAGGCAGTGCTGTGGCACCGGCACCCTCAAAAACCGCTTCGACGGCGACTTCCACCTCCTCATCCTCCTCCCCGGCCCCCTCTGCCACCGCTGTCAAGCCGCGTGTATTCACCTCCCGGAACTTGAACCCCACTTTGCAAGCTGTCGCGTCGAAATCCGAAGCCCAAGCCCCCCGAGTGGCCTTGCCAGGATCCACGTCGCGTCTGACAGTGATCAACAAACCGTTTCCCAGTCCGGAGGAGCCAGGGCCGGGACCGGGGGAAAATGGAGAGCGCGGGA